TTCCACAACGTTGGTATTGCCGGACTCAAGTTTCGAGAACAGAGGACATAGTTCATATTATCTGTCAATACTCTGCCGGGTCCGGAATTCAGACCAAAAACGCCGCTGCATACATTTAGAGTTAAAATGTCGATTTGTTATGTGATTGCAAGCAAATATAAGCCTTTTCATATGATTTGCGATGCAAGTGATTATACCATCGATTGTGCGTTGATGCGGCAAGATGATGAGAGTCGAGAGCGAGCTGTTTTGTATCTGCCCTTCTTTATTGACACTGCCATTTCCTAATCGTGCCTCACTGCGTACGCCAATAAAGATTCCTCATTTATTACAGAAAATGGGAGCGAAAACATGCACGACTCATGTCGACAATTCGAAGATGATCAGACGATCAGAGTGCAAGCAACGACAACTATGCGCGAAGAAATTGTCGACGGGTACAAGTCTGATGAGACATATCAGAATTTGATAAGATATTTCAAGGAACCTTCCGACAGAACCCCGTGAGGTCTCCGGTTTCGCAAAAGATCACGTGTTCACCGTTTTGATGTATACAATGGGTTGCTGTACTCTGCGGTTTAACACGGGGGTCCAGAAAGAGTTGTTGTTCCAAAAGACCAAGGTCTGCGTCATCGTCTCTGATATGAGTACCATGACAGCCCTTCGGGTGGTCATCTCGGACGTGAGAAATCGTATTCAGTCTTCCCCGAGATTACTATAGGCCAGATTTGTACAAGTGGGTGCGCAAGAGTGTGAAGATTTGCCAGAAAGAGAAACCACCGGTTTCCACTCTGGCCCCACTTTGGTCGTTGGCAGTGCCGACTGACAGCTGGAAGTCTATGAGTATGTACTTCGTATTCGGACTCCCGCATGACCCACATGAACACAGTGGTATCCTTGTGTTAGTGGACCGATTCCGGATGATGGTTAATCTTGCGCCTATTTAGGATAAGATCTTTGCCGCAAAAACAGCTCAGATCTTTATAGACGTCGTATCCTGTCTGTATGGCCTTCCTGTTACAATCGTGTCTGAACGTGACATCGGTTTCACATCAAGGTTTGGCGTGCACTGTTTAAACTATTGGGCACCAAAATGTCCATGTCAACAGCGGCACAGTCTGAAATGAACGGTCAAACAGAGCGTATAAATCGAGTTATAAAGGACGTACTTCGTAGTTATGCTAGATAGTTTGACTCTTTTCGGATTCACACAAATTTGTCGTTAAAAGAGTAGAGTGCATTTTTCCCTCTTTTAAAGTTTGCTTTAAACAACTCCACGCATGTATGAACAGCTCATTTTGCCATTTATGTTAACTACGGTATCCATCCTAGAGTGCATGCTTCTATAATGGGCAAGGTAAATATCATAGGTGGGAAAGCTATGGCTATAGAGCAACAGTAAAACCTAAATGCTGTCAAAACGTTTGACTCAATGAGACCTCTAGACGACATGACAAGTCGTGAGCAACAGCACGTCGATGATTATATTGTGAGAAAATACGTCACTTGTTCGAGACGCAATCGCAGAAGTTTAAGATCTAAAAAAATTAAAATTGAGATCTAAAAAAATGAAAAAGAAGGTTCGAGACGTAATCGCAAAAGCTTGTGATCTGCAAAAAGAACAAGCGGTTAAGCGCGGAAGAAAGAACAAGAAGGTATATAAGGTCAATAATCTTGTACCACTAAGCACGACAAATCTGCCTGAACATGCAGTGTCTAGCTTGGGAAGCAGGAAACTTGTACCAAGATGCATCGAATCGTTCACGGTGTTGAGAAGCAATGGTGATGCGTATGCAATAGCCATCCCTACACGCATGCGCCTTTATCCCGTTTTTATGTGGATAGGTTAAAATCGTATCTTCCGAGTGGATCTGCCAATCCTACCCTATTATTTGGTGGATGATCGGCCTGATGATAAAGTTTCTCCATTTGTCCACAAAGAGCAACCAGCTCTTCATCCTAGAGATTCTTCTCGGCGTACAAGCGCTGAAGGACATCGAAGGATTGCTCCGACTGAGTTCAACGCTTGAAGGCGAGAAAGGTACTCACCACGTAGTACCTCGCGAACAGAGCCTTCCTCATCGACCGAGCGCAACCGATGTTCGTGAGCCAACTCACGAGACTTCCCGATCTCCCGGATTCGAGAAACGTCATCATGAACCTGTTGAAACCGAGACTCAAAACGAGACTTTGAAGCCAACCACTGGGCGGAACCATTAGTCAGAATGTCAATTTTCGAGTTCTGCTCTGCAACAAGGTTACAAAGGCTCTCGCAGCAATCTTCAAGCATGAGTAACGCTGCTGTATTGCCTCATTTTACCCGCGATGGGCGCTCTTCCGCTTCCAGAATTTTTAGCGTTCTACTCAACCAACTCTCGTGGAGAGCGCTGCTGAATGGTTGAGACGATTGTCGATCACGAGTATCGATCGACTCGTCATCGTGGAAAGGAACAAATAAATCATCAACGATTTAACAGAATTCGGTGGCAAGGCAAATCATCGACTTTGGACACGTGGGAACCTCGTCGAGTCCTAGAATCTAATGCCTGCGACGTGGTCCACAGCTACGAGAATCGCTTGTAGTATTGTTTGGGGCAACAATACAACGACCAGAGATTGTTTGTGTTCAGTCGTGACAGGGAGTTCTGCCAACGTCGACTCGGTAAAACAGACGCTCCATCGTGTTCGCGTGTCTAAGGCAAACAAATGTCCGTCGAGAGTCAAGCTTAGCTGCGATGGGCATCACGATTGGTGATCTAACACCAACAAAAGAAGCGCTCCATGGAGAACCTCTTGTCTCCATTTCGGCTGAGAATGGGTCAGATCGCTGTTTGCAATGGGGAGTTACAGTGAGTTGTCGTCTTCCAGCAAATTAACACTTAAGAGAACGTCAGAGTTCCATAACCGCTCTTTGCCGTAATAGGGAACAGCACTCTTCAAAGTTGACTTGTTCACTTGATTGCTCTATTGATGATCGCAAAGTAAGCTGCTCCGAAAGGTCTGCAGAAGTATCAAAGTACTTTTGACTTAAAGAAAGAGATAGTGTAATGGGCTACCTTTAGTCATTAAATGAATGTACGTTTTCTGTATGCATTGTGGGAATTCATAAAAAAAGAAGATTACAGTATGCATACATGACATTTTTATGAAGTTGTAAACGTTCTTTTTGATACCGAATACTGGTTTCGACTTGAAGATCTGTACTGGTGACGAGGTTGACGTGCCTTGTCATTTGTAGTGGGAGGCGTAAGCCAGTCACTTCTGGATGATACCTTTCACGAAAGTTGTAGTTCAAGCTTTCGAAATTCAAGCCCATACACCCAAGATCTAGTATAAGTTGAAGCTGAGGTTTAACTTCAGTACACCCTAAATTCATAAATCAGGAACCCAATGTTTATTGGTAAAACCTTTAGGAGACCTTCGTGTGTTTTGCATGTAGCTTGGAACCATTAAACCCATTAGATGCAAATAATCCCTTAAAGTGTGAAGTTGTTCTTTTTCCCTCCAAGCTATAACTGTCCTTCTCCCCCCATGTCGGGAATTACTTCCTCATCGCGCACGCGTGTGTGTTGTGCTTGGGGGACTGTTTGTAAACAGCAACCGCTTACACTAGGTGCCACGAGTGGAGCTTGGTAGACAGAATTGGTAATGGGCCGTAGTCTTAAGCGAGCGATTTCATGTCGCGGGTTTGAAGTGTACCATTGTTCAGACGGAAAGGAATGATTGAATGTTGTGGCCCCCAGAGTATATCTTCCGCGGGGCGGTAGAAACAACTGTGAGCTGTGGTCTCCTTGCCAGTGCCGATGAAGAATGGAACTCAAAAAAAGGAGACTGTAAGTCGCGAGTCGAAGAGCCAGTCGCTGAGATCATATGTACGACCTATTCTTGACACGATGCAACAGTTTGATGAGTGATCATTACCGTATGACGGAACCATTGGGCAAGTGGCGCGATGGACATTCACTGGTGGTCGAAGCTACCCGAAAAGTCCTTAGGATACAAAATTCTTCACTATCTCCCGAAGGAGCTCTGATAGAGTGTAAAATTAAACCTTGAAGCTCTGTGCACAAAATTTTAAGAAGGATACGTGTTCGAAGTGTTTTGGTTGGTACCGAAGGAGGAGCTGAGATCGTCATCCGCCATGTATCTGCCAGTAAGAACGCCTGTGGAAGACTCGGTCTGAAAGTGGGACAGCAAATCTCTTGGATTCTATGAATAATTTAGTTACGTACTAAAAAGCAAACAACGCGATGACGAACGATTAACCGCTCGCGCTCTCCTGGATAAGGAGTGAATCATAATGTTAATTTTGTTTTCTGAAGCCAATGTGCGAAGCACGAAAGGGGGTTTGGTAAAAATGTAAAACTCACACTTAGCGTCGAATTTCCCTGCAGATAGTCTAAGGACAAGTGGCAAGTTGCAGTAAAGCTTGAAGTGGCTATAATCAATTACTTTGATGGGTCTTTATAAGATAAGCATAATTAGCTGCACATTTTTCCGTGACCGCGACCTGGTTGATGGGAATATCATCAATTGCTGATGAGATATAGCGTCATCACTTCAGTGTGGTGAGTTCTCTGAGTAGAATGCTTCGAGAGTGACCATTAAGCTACAACGACTTGGCAACGCACCAACCGATCGTCAATTAACACAGCTATCCATCCCACAACGCGGCTATGAGTAAAGCTATCTCAGAGATATGTTCGACTTTGGTCGTGCTCTTCATGAACAATCGGATGTGACCAACATATTTAGATCGTGTAAGCAGTGCTCGAGCGTAAGCTAGATGCCAATGTAAAGACCGTGTCTTTGGTTCGGAAGAAATCTTTATTCATTTTTTTCACTTATCAGCAAAGCAAGCTTGCGGATCTCGCAAAGATTTAGGTCAATACTGCCTCTGTCCTGAAGAATTGAAAAACCAACTTGGCCTGACCACCTAGTTGTATTAGTTCAATGAATAATGCTAACTTAAAACGTTTTTCTTTTACTCGTCCAAAAGGATGGCAGATAATGCCGAAGGATGGCGAGTAAAAGTGATACCGTCATTCAATAGGATAATGAGCGTTGAGGTTTTACACCAACAAGATTTCTTTAAAGCAGTGTTCACTTACACATGGAACACCCACAGTTTTACTTCCGAGAAAAAGTGGCAAGGCGCACGTTGTAGCGCCCTTCTCACTAGTGGGCCGCGATCGATCTTGCGGAAAGAAGAAACAAGTAGTAATTTCTGTCACAGCTTTCTCATGGAAGAAAGCATGGTTTTCATCATCAAGAACTTGGTCGGATTATTAATCACATCGACGTTCACGTCGTGTTTCGTAACCCGCAAATTTACGCATGAGATAACGACCACCTCTTCACTTGCACCGGCTTTTGAAGCCTTAGAATGGGTGAGACGGAGCAGTTTATATCCAGTGCTCGAATAAAGTCAAATACTCACCGACACTCTTTGTAGCACCAAATATTCAATGTACATCTCTCGTGAAAAATGCTAATTTTACCAGGCAATGCTGCCTTGAGCACATGCGTTGCTTTTGATGATTGATCTGTGAGTATGAAAAACGCTCGGGATGGGTGACCTCACATTTGAAATTGCTATTGATGTGAGCGGTAGGTCCGCACATATAGGCTCCTCATCAGCGCAGTGAGCGACTGCAGACAGTTTGAACCCGATTCACAGTGCGGCGAATTGGGCAATTTTTGGTGGCACTCTTCGCCGCAGTATATAAAGCTGGATTTTTCGAGCCGGATTTTACTTGTTGTTGACAAGTTGGATATTGCAATGAGCTTCATGGCGGAGTGTTGCGAAACCTTACGAACTTCGTGACTCGAGCTGGGGCTGAGCACAGTGGGGGCCTTTATCTCGGGTAGAGACAAGGCTGTGTGTGGTCAGCTATGATCACAGGAGTTAAGTAAGGATTTGGAGTGTCAATTCGATCACTTTCGGAGAGACCCTCAGCATCCTAACCAAGTTTTACAGGGCCGGTGGCATGGACTGCACCCTTGGACAGCCAGTCGTTGAGGTGCATGGTGTCCTGATGCAGGTGTGATCTGTGAAGCAGGAGCAGCAAAGACAAAAGGTGAGATGACGGCTTTTGCGTATTGTCGGAAAAGTAAAATAAGTGCAATCTTAGCGTAGTCCACAGCTGAGTGAGGGTTTAGGTTAATTGGTTGAGTGTAACAGATGAAAATTATAAATTTTTGAAAAGAGGGTAATTGTGACTTACGCGGGGTGTTAGTTGCACGTGGTGATGACGTCGATGTGTGCAACGACGCATGACCGATATCGACAAAAAGCTTTAACCTGTGCAAGTACACCCCAGCATGACGACACTTTGCTGCAAGTAGCTTGTTGTCATATATATAGCAGTTTCGCTCCAAAGCCTTCAGCCAGACAATGATCCCAATTGTTATCTACTTGGAGTGAAGCGCGGCCTTTGGCAAAGTTTGAAGTATCATAGACGACGTGGAATGACAGATCGGGATTTGGAGGATCAAGTATCAGAGTAAGCATGAGGCTCTCTTTAAAGGTCTTTAAGTCCGCCATTCGCCCCCCCCCCC